AAATATGTTTTGTGAGAGGATAAGTAAGAATTTAATTAAAACATTAAGGATAAAAATGAGAGAATAATAATGATAATAATAAGCTATATACTATAAACTCAAATGTTTTTTTCAAATAGTGTTTGAACAAAAAAATGTTAAAAGCTAGTAAGATAAAGCTCATTACCAATTACTTCTACTTTGGTCAATTAGTGATATTGTTGAATTTCGATTTTTTTTAGTTGTTGAATTTCGATCTCTTTGATTAATTAATCTGTGATATTGTAGATAAAAGATAAATATTAGAAGAGGGATTAAATAATGTATATCAAAACTTTGCATGTTTTTAGTAGTGAAGTTGTAACATTAATTAGATTTAGATGAACCGTGAAGAATGATAAGATGAAATATTAGATATTTTTATACCGGTTCGTGATGAGGACACCAAAGACCAAGTCCAAGCTCATAAGGAAACCCAAGACCTAATACAAGGCATAGGAGGATTCATGACAAGAGTAAGAGCTAAAAAAACTCAAGAAGCTTTACAACATATGGTGGCTAATCTAAGGACAGTCCAATTATATGAAGGGATCAACATCTAGAGACCCGCATGGGGGGTTTGCTAGTCACATGTATTGCTTGCTTGGAGTCAAAATAGAAGGCCAATATTGACTTAGTACATGTATTGTTTGCTTGAAGTTAGAATAGAAGGCTAATATTGATTTAGTCATTAAATCAAAATAATAATAATAATAATAATAATAAAGTGCTTATAACTAGTTTTGAGGGCTAAATCTTAAGTTTAAACTATGCCTCACTTTACCAATAAGGCATTTTAATTATGCTTGCAATGATGAGATTTTTTTTCTTTCTCCTAAGTGCATGAGAACTAATTTGTATTAATCATTTTGAAGTGAATGAACAGAACAAATTTGTTGGTTTTATCATTGAAGTGTGAGAATTGTCTTCGTCGGAGTTCTTCATTAAACCATTTGATCTTATCAAACATCATTATTTGTGGCGCCTATTTTGTTTGAATTTCTTATTTTCATATCTCTCATTTTACTTATGTTTTTTTTGGTGTGTTTCCTGGGTCTAAATTGCATTTCAAAATATCCTCTTTTACCTAGATTTGGAATTGTTCTAATATGAGCTCTATAGGCTAAGATACATATTTTAATTAAAACGCATTTTTGGCACATTTTGTGCACAAATTTCATCCTAAAAAGGTTTGAATTTGAAATAGAGCAAGGGGATCCACATCAATTTGTCTCAACCATAGAAATTGCGTCCAATTCTCAATTTAACCAGATTGAATCTCACTATCTTTAAACAAGTTACGCGTATTCTTTCAACAAGCCACTTTTGACTCAACCCTAAGTATTATTTGACTTGCCTCTTCAAGTAACTACCCAAATATTTTTTTAACAACAAGCCTCTCTAAGCTTAATAACCAAGTATTTTTTTACAATCAAACTTCTGCAGGATCAAAACAAGTATTCTTTTAGAGATATGCCCCTCCAAGCTTAAAAAAAATATTCTTTTATAGACAAGTCTATCCAGACTCAATCTTATAACAATGGTTATGAAAGGTACATAAATGTTGTGTTCGTTTCACTTAGATGTTATACAATTAGCATAAAATAGTAAGCTTTTTACAATAAAGAATAAGCATAATTTATAGAGTGTTTCTTTCTATACAAGTCTTTTATGTATATTGCACATCTCTTTCTCTATTGAGTTTTAAATCTTCTTATATTGTAGTAGTAGCTTGGAGAAGAAGATTGTTGCAACACTTTAAGTTCAGCTCACAAGTTTACTTCGTTTATTTTCATCATCTCTCTTTATGATGACAGATAATTGTTTGACTAATTTAATGTGAGTATTAAATCTATTTCACTAAATAGTATCTCTTATTTGGTCAAGGCTACTTATCACTTTTTATACCAAAAAGAGCTTGCAGAAGCAATGTTTAGCGTTAAGCAACCATAATAGTAACTGCATTTGCTTTTCTCTATGATTTCAGGGATTTTTGTTTTGACAAAAAACATGATTTTTTTTCTTTAACAGATTTGTGAGTTTCAAGATGTCTTTCTGGTACAATTTATTAAAGATTGAAGCATTTAACACAGACTTTATTGTTAGTCTTAATAAATAATAAACATTTAATTTATATATGTGAGATAAACTGTATGTTTCATCTAATTTATATCATTTTATAAATGATCTACGTCTTATACTTCGTCTGATAAACATTTTTTAGAATATTTTTAAAAATATTTTTAAAGATATTTTCTCTTTAAAAATATTTGGTTTAACATCAAAATTCTAAAACTTGAAGGAACCAAAATCTTCTTTTCACTTAACAAATATTTTGAATCCTCATTCTTAATAGAATCAAAATAATGTTATGTTTTTAACTTTAAAAATGAAAGTTGTGCTTGAAAACCACGACTTACTATTTTATTTATTTTAATTTATCTATTTTAAAAATTTCTTTAAAAAATTACACATGAAAGGTAAGCCAGCAAAATAGCTTAATTGTAAAACTAAAAGATAAAGGACTAATTTTCCTTAAAAATAACTTAAGTAAAAGGATTAAAAATTTAATTAAATCATTTAATTATGTGAGTATTTATTTTATCATTAAAAATTTAAAGGGAGTGTGTGTGTGTGTTTTTTTTTAATTCAATGTTTCATATATATCAAATAATTAGAAGATAATTTTCAAACTTACAAATTCTAATATTGTTCAAAATATCACTCAAACAAATGAGAGTGTGACGTCAAATTTTACAAGACAACGCATTTTTCTTTTCAATCACACATGAAACCACACAAATAAAGTTGCAGTTCACTACAAAAAAATAATATATATATATATATACCTTTGTGAAGGGCTAAATTAACTTTTTCAGGAGAAATAGTTTCTATTTTCAAAACTTCTCTAAAATGTTGTAAAACATAATATTTTTAAAAAAGGACAAATTCAACTAAACACATACTATTGAAAAGGACCATGATTTTCTACATAACAATTATTTTTAATGGTTAATATCTATATGTGTAAAGGAAATATTTCCTTTAGTAACTTTTTCAAGCCTTCATTTTTTATTAGTAAACTTTATTCCTAAATTCATACCACAAACTTTATAATCTATACCAATAATAAAAGAAATAACTCTATTTGATGTTGATGTGCTTCTTACTCATTTTACCTCTAATAGCTACAAATACACATAAATAACTATACATGATTATAATATATATATA